ATAGCGAGAATGACTGAGAATTAAAGAGATCTGTTGTCGCTTAGTCTTCAACACTCATTGCAAATACAATAATAATAATAATAATAATAATATTATTATTATTATTATTATTATTATTATTATTATTATTATTTTATGTGACTTTACCACTACAAAAATCCTCCTCTATTAGCTTTGACCCTGGGATAACAATCAAAGATTTAGTGTAAGAAGCTTAAAAGTACCTCGGTGTAAATGAGGGTAAAGGAATTCACCATAACAAAATGAAAGAAATAGTGTGAAAAGAGTACTATAGAAGGGTGTGACTGATATTAAGAATTAAACTGAATTCTCAGAACAGAATTATGGCCATTAATAGCCTTGCCATCCCAGTGGTTCAATATAGCTTCACAATCCTGAACTGGACTCTAAATGATATCAGATGAATGGATTTTATGACAAGAGCAGATCATCTATAAATGTCTTCTTTACCCCGTAAAGAAAGTGGAAGATGTCTTATTCAGCTAGAATAGTCATATAAGACAACTATTAAGTTACTAATGTACATGGAAACAACAAAGGAATGGATGATATAATTAGTTGAACAACACGAAAACACAAAAAATATATTTAATTATGAAAGAAGTTTGTAAATACAAATAAGATTTACATTTAGTAGATTCTATAGAAAACCAAAACAAAATCCAAGAACCAACTGTTGCAGCGAAAAATATGAAAAAGTAATCCAAGGTAAAGCTCTTGAACAAAATAAACGGTGCTATCAAGACAAACCTCTGCATGGTGAATATCCAGAACGTGCTAATAAACCTGATGCTGATAAAGTTGACAAGAAATGGAAAGTTTATTCTTGCGGCGCAGGACAAGAGATTTTTCACTAGAAACTTTCAGGCAAAAAATATACAGCGCTGTCCGATAAAAGTGACTCACCTGATTTTTTTTACTTAAAAATTTTTTCGCCTATTGTTTTTGCGGTCAAACTAATTTTTAATCTTACTAATATAAAGACCCCTTTCCGACCACCTAGTAAAAAATTTTACTCACACTAAGGTATTCTATTGATAATTATAATTTTGGATATAAATGAGATTTAGGGAAAAAACTCTGTGCACAAAAAGTGACTCACTTATTTCCTGCAACTAGTAATCAATAGAAACATAACCGAACAGCTTTAAATAAAGAATAATAGAGGTATAATTTATTTATAATAGGTAATATAGTTCGAAATATTTAATAATCTATGGGTCCTCCTTTATTTTGAATAACCTTTTCAACCCTTTTTGGCATTGACTTGATTAGGTTCTGGCAAATCTAATCTCCAAGCATTGAATTCCATTCGGATATGAAATTCACAATCAAATCCTCTTTGTTGCTCAACTGCTTTCTCGAGAGCTTGTACTTTATACTGCTCCATAAGTTTTCTTTGGGGTTGAGGTCAGGAGATTGGGGTGGCCATGTCATAACACTCATTTGCTTCTCATCAAAGTGTTCCTTCATCAATTTTGATTTTTGACAGGGAGCATTATCCTGCATAAAAATGAGCTTGGTGGGGTCGATTTGCACCCTTTCAACAGAAGGGAGCAGACAAGACTCTAAAATTCTCTTGTACTGCTCGCTCCTGGAGGTATTTTCAATAGGTTTTAAGAAACCAGTTCCATGAAAAGAAATGCATCCCCAGAACATTATACTGAACGGACGCTTGACAGTACTTACTGCTAAATTCAAAGAGCTTTCAAAGCTTCTTCGGATTAAAGATCGCTTATCCTTTGAATTTAGCTCAACTTTCGTTTCATCGGATAGAACATTCTTCCAGTCTTCTACGGTGAAATTTTTGTAATAGTGAGCCCATTCAAGTCTCTTGGCTTTGCTAGCTTTGCTTATTAGCGGCTTAAACTTTTGTGTAAAAGATTTGTAACCTTGTTTTAACAAGATTTGTAACCTTGTTCTGACAGACTGTTGAAGAGGCAAGACTAACACCTTGCTCTTCGCTTAGACTGGCTGCAAATTCTTGGCTAGTTATAGTCCTATTCTTCGCAACTTCTCTCTTGATTACCCTGCCAGTTCTATCATCAATCTTTTTCTTTCGTCCTCTCGTTTCCTTCCTTGGAGCAGAAGTGGCATCATTATGTGCCCTAAGTACTCGGGAGACAGTTGATTGCGAGGTTATAGCAATTTCTGAAATTGCTCTCGTAGACTTGCCTGCTTTTGAAAGGACAATAATAGATGCCTTAAGTGGTTCTGAGTGGCTATTTCAAGCTGTTTTTATACTGTATGAGGCTTTCTGCAATTTAATTTAAGCTATTCTAGAATTCTCTAGAATATTATTCAGAGTGTATTGTAAAATAGTTTTCAATATTTTCAAAAGCTCTTTAAATTTACCAGTTTAATCATTAGAATATGACATCTGAGTCACTTTATTTGCACAGTTTTTTTTCCTGAATCTTATTTATATCCAAATTTATAATTATCAATAGAATACCTTAGGGTGAATAAACTTTTTTCCTAGGTGGTCGGGAAGGCAAGAATAAAAATTATTTTAACCCCAAAAACAATAGACAAAAAATATTTTTAGTAAAAAAAATCAGGTGAGTCACTTTTATCGAACAGCATTGTATATAATAGTGTGGATCCAACATGCAGGTTCTTTGACAAATATCAGGAAACTATAAACCATCTAATCTCATTATTTTCTGTACTTGCACCAAATGAATATAAAGATAGTCACGATTGGGGCGATAGTTACACTGGAGAATGTGCAAACTCTTTGGAAAAGATGTTAATAAACACTGGTATGAACACCAACCTGCATCGATTACAGAAATAAAAGACATCACAGTTCTATGGGATTGCACCATCTTTACAGACAGGAAGATTGAAGCAAATAGGCCGGATATAACTGTCAAAAACCGAAAAGAAAACACTTGTATACGAACTGATATGAATTGCCCAGCGGACTGTAACATAGCAACCAAGGAATTTGAAAAACTATCGAAATATAAAGACCTGGAAAGCGAAATAGAAAAAATGTGGAAATTGAAAACAAGAATAGTACCAGTCATAGTAGGTACGCTTGGAATGATAAAAAACGAATACAATGCATCCCAAAAATCCCAGCTTAAGAGAAATACAAAAAATTTGTCTCGATAAGTGTAGACCACATAATCAATAATAACTTTGTTCATGTAACGCTAGAGATTTATAAAAATAAATCATGAAATGTAGCCATAACACACTACTACCTAGGTCTTCCCGCAGTAGGTAAGGTGATCATAATAATGTTATGTGACTTTACAATACGGACAGGCATAACAATCAAAGCTAATCGCCTAGACATCATGATGAAAGACCACAAGAACGGAGTGTAGTTTCTTATTGACATCGTAGTACCTCCATATTGTAACTATCAAAATACAAGGAACTTGAAATTGAAATGTCAAAAATGCGGCACATTGGGACATCAACAATTTCACTTGTAGTTGGAGCCCTCGGATTGATTGGAAAAGGTTCCGATAGACTAATTGAAGGAATTCCTGGTAACCTATGCCTTAAATATATACAAAACATTATACTCAGCGACAGTAAGTTTCCTCAAATCTTCAGCTCTTTCTTATACCTTCGCGAAATTCAGTACTGCTATTATTATTATTATTATTTTCTTTGATTTCTGGCGTGTACACATTTCTTTCCGGGTCTCGCCCAGGGACCTAAGGTTAGAAATGGCATCATGACACTTTCCACTGACAAAAAAAAATTACATGGATAAAGCCCTTCGTAAAGTGTGGTCTGTACTTGTCAGACCAATTTTTTGTATCTCTTTGAGGCATAGACTTCCAGGAATCCCTTCAATTAGTCTACTGGAATTTTTTCCAACCATTCCTAGGGTTCCAACTACAACAGGGATTGTTGATGTTACCATATGCCACATTTTTGAGATTTCTATTTCAAGGTACTTGTATTTTGACAGCTTTTTGAATATCTTCAAAGATACATTGCAGTCAACAGGGACTGCCATATCAATAAGGAGGCACTTTTTTTGTTTGTGGTCTTCAATAACAATTTATTATTATTATTATTATTATTATTATTTCATTTAATTGTTGTTATATTTTCATTTCCTTCTGGGTCCCAACCAGAGACCTAAAAGCAGAAACGGATTCATGGTATTTTCCACTGATCATTTTTTGTAAAATAATCTAAAAAACTCTAACCACAATTTTTTTTTAAAGTTATGGTCTATCGGGAATCCCTTTAATGAATCTATTAGAAACTTATTCACTCTAACCGAGGGCTCCAAATACAACTGGAATTGTTGATTTCCTCATGTGCCACATTTTTTAGATTCCCATTTCAAGATCCTTGTATTTTGATAGTTGTTCTATAGATCTTCAAAGAAATATTAGCATCTGCAGTCAATAAGAAAGTATATTTTGTTCTTGTGGTCTTTGGTCACCATGTCTGGGTGATTAGCTTTGATTGTTCTCTCTGTGACTATTGTAAAGTCCTTTAATATTATTATTATTATTATTATTATTATTATTATTATTATTATTATTTTCGTTGATTTCTGGTGTATACTCATGTCTTTCTGGGTCCAAAACAGATTCCTAAGGTCAAAAATGGCATCATGACATTTTCCCCTAAGCATCTTTTGAGATCACACATATTTTACATTGCTGCTTTATTAAAATCTCTCACTATTTGTCTGTTCTGAGTGTGCATGCTATAATTTTATAAGGCTGGGTGTAATGGTGGGTAAGTTGAACTTTTGTATAGTTGTACCCCAGTGGTAGATTGTTGGAGATCTGCTTCAAGTGATGATGATGATAGTGGTGATGATGGTGCCGATGGTGAAGATGGTGAAATTGTAGATGGAAATGATTACAGTAAGAAAGTTGATGGTAGTTCTGTTGTTGATAATGGCGCTTCAGGTTATGATAGCGGTGATATTGTTGATGGTGCTTATATTGAATATCGAGGTGAGAGATCTGATTTTGATGGTGATCATGAGGAAGCTGGTGACGATTGGGGCTTATCTCGAAGGTAGTGATGATGGTGCTGATGGAGGTAGTGGTGGTAGTGATGCTGGGGAAGATGGTCCTGCTGATCTTGATGCTGATGATGATGGTGGTAGGGGTGGAGATGATGGTGCTTATATTGAATATCGAGGTGAGAGATCTGATTTTGATGGTGATCATGAGGAAGCTGGTGACGATTGGGGCTTATCTCGAAGGTAGTGATGATGGTGCTGATGGAGGTGTTAGACATTTCCATGACGGTCGTCCTTGAGTATTGAATCCAAGGGTTGGCAGTGAATATTTCGGAGACAGTAGGAACGCGTAGTGAAGGTTCGCAGTGGATATCACAGCAGAGTGTAGTTCATCCTTCTCCTGGTCACCTTTGGTCCTTCTGGTAGACGAAACAAGATGGCCGCCTTTATACACGACGAATATAGTGTTAGGCGGCTTCTAATTGGTCAACCTTCCATTGGTCGATTATAAAGGGAAATAAGTCATTCTGACTTGCTCACTAGTTATACGTTCATATATACCCAAAAAACCGTAACAGCCCCCCTTATTTTGGGTATATATGGAATCTTCGTCCAAAATATTAGTAAGGTTAATAAATACTTTAATTTCAAAAATAATTTTTTTTTCTTTTCTTTTTTTAAAAAAAGGTAATATTAATATGTAACAAATACTTTAGTATTCCAAATTTTATTTTTATATTTTTTTTTTAATATTTTCTTGAAAATTAATATTCACACAAATTAGTCATATAACTTTGTTCACAGTTAAATACTTCGGGTTAATAAAACATGAACAATAATATTATAAGTTTAGATTGCGATCACGGCAAAAAGTGGAAAGAATTGTTACTTTACCCATAGTTGGGACCCATTAAAACAGTTATTATCACTCCGAGTTAAAGTGATCCAGTAAAATCATTTATTATTTTATCCATAGCTGGGACCCATTAAAACAGTTACTATCACTCCGGGTCAGAGTGATCCAGAGAATCATTTAGGATTGGGCTCAAGATAGGACCATTTACCTTTATACCCCGAAACTAAGGACTTACGTTCGTACCAAAAACTGAACTGACGCTTCTTAGGACAATAACTAACGGATGCAGTTTTACGTCCTACCCAGGACCTAATAAGGACCTTACAGGGACTTAACGGATGCAGTTTTACGTCCTACCCAGGACCTAATAATACAGGGGCCTTAGTGGATGCAGTTTTACGTCTTGCCCAGGACCTAATAAGGACCTTAGTGGATGCAGTTTTACGTCTTGCCCAGGACCATTATAAGGGTCTAAGAAGTCAGCACCAAACATTGCAGAAGCAAAAAGTCTGTAGTTTCCATTTCATAATCGGTTTTTTGTTTTACAAATAAATCCGCCATATTATTTCCCGATTAAACACATTCAATTTGTACTGTTTCTTCTATAGTTGGTCCCTTAACCAACTGATATTTCATATTGATATGCTTTGATCTTTAATGTTGAATTTCCAGACAAAGCAATACTGCTCTGATCGGCGAGTAAATAATAATTGGCTCAGTTATTGCCAGTATTATAATTGTTTTTATTAGCAATTTAAGAAAAATAACCTCTTATGTTCTTTTCACAATGCAATACATCCAGCTTCACAAGTTAAAAGTGAAATCTTTCGCTGTTTCTTAATTCCTGCTGATTATTGGGTTACCATCCGCTAGCTTAAAGCAATAGCCTGTTATATTCTTATGGTCTGGTGAATTAGCCCAATCAGCATCACAAAATTCTTCCAATTTTTAATAATTTATTGGATTGTCCAAAAATACTAGGCATCGACTATTAGTCCACTTCAGATAACGTAATACTTGCTTCAAAATATTGTTAAAATGTACAGTCCACGGTTTACTTAAGTTTTGGGATAACTTAGTAATCGAATAGCAGATTATTTTGCCTAGTTCATATCATGCAAATAATACTTCCGACCAATATTCTGTATTCCTTTTCCCACTCCGCTATACCATCTTCTTATTCCTAATTGTGCTTCAATCCCTTTCACATGGAGTAGTTCTTTGTTTTGCCATTTTGCATGTTAAATTTCCATAAAAGCCTTTCCATGTATCTCGATTAATCCATTGAAATCGTGTTGCCCTTAAATTTTTACTGTATACCAAGAAAAACATGATAGTTCGACCCAAATTGGTCATTTTAAAACTCATTTGTAGAGAACTCTTGATTTTTAATAGCGCGGCCTTACTCTTTGATACAATTAATATATTTTCGACCCAAATAACTAGAGTTACTGATATTTCATTAAATGTCTGTGTACAGACATGGGTCAACTTGAGGAGATTGAAATTATTGTCTCATTAAATAACAACAGATTAAATTATTCCATGTTTTTTTTTTCTCCACTCATTTTGAGTCCATATAGTGACTTTTTTAAGTTTTTTTTTTCTTAAAGTTTCCATACATAATCATCACTTTTGCTTCTTTTTTTTTTAAACTTCTGGTGGTTCCATATACCTTTCATAGTCGATGGTACATTCTGAAATAAGCCCTTTTTTTTTTTTTTTTTTTTTTTTTTAACATCCATATGATGTAGATCTTTACCACAATGGGCATCCATTTGCATCAAAACCCTAATTAAGACTTAATGTCACTACATAAGTCATCCGCCCCATATATCTATAAAAATAAATCCGTTAGCTACAAAAACGAACATCGCATACTAGCGATCTATTCTTAGTTCGCTTTACAGTGTAAACTCAACGGCTGCCAATGATATTTCTATCATCAATTTAATTAAGACTTAAGATTTCTACATAAGTCGCCCCCACCCTTATATCTATGAAAATCCGTTAACTATAAAACGAACCTTGTAGACTGACGATCTATCCTCAGTTCGCTCATAGTACGGCTGCCAATGATGATGATGATGATGATCATCATCATCATCATCATCATCATCCGGGGCGTTTTGATTCAAATAGTGTCCCTCAATACCAAAGATTAAATTACTTTATTTTTGGCTTAAATTTCTTCCTTCTTTTCTTTTGAAGGCTTAAATTTCTTCATTCTTTCCTTTTGAAGGCTTAAATTACTGCTTTTTTTTTTTGAAGGCTTACATTTCTTCATTCTTTTTCTTTTTGAAGGCATGGCCGCTCTGATCTTAACAAAAATGTATGGCTTCTTGGTAGTTCCTTGAGATACATTTGTACTGCATAACAACAGTTAATATTACATTAATTCATTTCACAATAGTCTGGCTTTTCTCCATTTTGGTCGGAATTTGCACCTGATTTTCTTCTTCTCGTATACCCCATCTGGTATAGTACCATCCTCTGCTTGTGGACTCTGAACGGGTTTTCTACCCATAATTAGGCCATACTTAATTCGGGTTGGACTAGTTCCTCGGAATTAATATATTTTTCTTTTGTTTTTGTTTTTTCAAGTTCCTCCCCTCGCTCAAAAGAATCTATCAATCTGACGCATCTTTCTTCTTTTAAATCATATAGTATGGACTTGGCTTATTCTACCCATAAATATGTCCCTTTAATTTTGGGATCTATTGCCGCCCTGTGGTCAAAATATATACAGCAAATTATATCAAAAATATGCATATCACTCACATTGGGCTCTCATTGAGTTTTTAGTTTCTTTCTCAATGCATAAAACCACAGCTTCTTGGGTAATTTATATTCTATTAACAATCATCTAGCCATTTTAAAAAGTGTCCTCCAACTACGTTCAGCGACTCCGTTCTTATGCGGAGAATAAGAACAGGTTTTCTCACGTTTTAATGCCTTCATTTATTTAATTTATCAGGAGGTTTTTGTAAGCATCAGAAGTAAATTCGCCACCATTATTTTAATTTTTCATGCGGGGGAGTTCTTGGATAAATAGATTTTCGTAGATTGCAAATTATCAAATTTACTTTCAGAAAGTAAATCATAAGCCCTGAGTATTCGGCAACAAAGTTTAAGTCTTTTTTCTTTAATATACATGTCCTAATATTTTAAATCATTTGGAAGTGTATTTTTTTTTTATTCCAGTGACATGTTCTTGCAATCTCTTAACATCAGAATTCTTACAGTGGCCTAATATCTTATGCCAAGTTGTTAAGTCATGCGTGGCCAGCTTAGCAGACCTAACACTTTTCAAATGATACTAACGTCCATATTGCTGTATTTCAAATCCAGTTCTGTCTGGATATCTTGAATTTAAAATATATAAAGCCTTTTTTTCCTTCTTTTTTTTTTAAATAAACATTCTATATATTTCCTCTAGTATTTCGCAGATAAGTACAGGCACTACCTCTCTGAGGCTAAATTATTAGCTCTGGTGCCGTCCAGTAACTCGATGAAATGTCAGTCGAGCTCAAAATTCGGGTGAAAATTAATAAATTCTGTAACAACCATAAATACATGATTTGTCGCAGCCGAACTGACCGAATCACAAGTACTAGCCACAGTACTCAATCCAAACAAAAAAGGCATATGCACGTCCATTCTAAAAAGTTTGTTTTTTTTTTTGCAAAAGTCATTCCGTATATAAAATTGACATTTCCGCACGCACATGGCCGACATTATTACCACAACGAAAACAACATTTTTTTTTTTTTTCCTCGATTTTGTGGGGGTACATATTATATTGCTTCATAATTACGTAACGCAATTTTAAACTCAGTGACAGTTACTTGTTATCTTTTTGAGTTATAACTGTCGTGAAAGGTTTGAATGAAGGTGGCAAACCCTTCAAGACCATGGCTATTTGCAGCCCATCAGAGAGAGTCCTCACCTGCAATTTTAAAGCATTTGTGACATTCTCTGCTAAAATAATTGGTTACTGATTCGCGGTTAGTTCAAATATATGAAGCAATAATTTTAGGCTTACCTTTTAACAAATAGTACTCGTTTAAATTTGTGTAGGGCTCGGCTTCCATTGTCCTTGGCCTCCCTCATTATTAAAGACAAACTCCAGTCATCCAGGAATTGAATTAACTCGAGGTGAGACACCTGATTTTGACGGTGATCATGAGGCAGCTGGTGACGATTTGGGCTTATGTCGAAGGTAGTGATGATGGTGCTGAGGGCGGTAGTGGTGATAGTCATGCTGTGAAAGATGGCCCTGCTGATCTTGGTGCTGCTGATGATGGTAGGGGTGGTGATGATGGTGCTTATATTGAATATCGAGGTGAGACACCTGATTTTGAGGGTGATCATGAGGAAGCTGGTGACGATTGGGGCTTATGTCGAAGGTAGTGATGATGGTGCTGAGGGCGGTAGTGGTGATAGTCATGCTGTGAAAGACGGCCCTGCTGATCTTGATGATGATGATGATGGTAGGGGTGGTGATGATGGTGCTTATATTGAATATCGAGGTGAGAGATCTGATTTTGAGGGTGATCATGAGGAAGCTGGTGACGATTGGGGCTTATGTCGAAGGTAGTGATGATGGTGCTGAGGGCGGTTGTGGTGATATTCATGCTGTGAAAGATGGCCTTGCTGATCTTGATGCTGGTGATGATGGTAGGGGTGGTGATGATGGTGCTTATATTGAATATCGAGGTGAAACACCTGATTTTGAGGGTGATCATGAGGTTGCTGGTGACGATTGGGGCTTATCTCGAAGGTAGTGATGATGGTGCTGAGGGCGGTAGTGGTGATAGTCATGCTGTGAAAGACGGCCCTGCTGATCTTGATGCTGATGATGATGGTGGTAGGGGTGGTGATGATGGTGCTTATATTGAATATCGGGATGTCTGATCTGATTTTGAGGGTGATCGTGAGGAAGCTGGTGACGATGGTGCTTATGTCGAAGGTAGTGATGATGGTGCTGATGGTGTTAGTGGTGGTAGTGATTCTGGGGATGGAGGCACTTCTGATCTTGATGCTGATGATGACGGTGCTGGTGGTGGTGATGATGATATTGCTTGTATTGAATATCTTGGTATCAGATCTGATTTTGAAGGTGATCATGAGGAAGCTGGTGACGATGGTGCTTATGACGAAGGTAGTGATGATGGTGCTGATGGTGGTAGTGGTGGTAGTGTTGCTTGGGATGGTGGCACTGCTGATCTTGATGCTGCTGATGATGGTGCTAGGGGTGGTTTATGATGGTGTTTAATTGAATATCGGGGTGTCAGATCTGATTTTGAGGGTGATCATGAGAAAGCTGGTGACGATGGTGCTTATGACGAAGGTAGTGATGATGGTGCTGATGGTGGTAGTAGTGGTAGTGATTCTGGGGATGGAAGCAGTGCTGATCTTGATGCTAATGATGATGGTCCTAGGGGTGGTTTATGATGGTGTTATCGGGGTGTCAGATCTGATTTTGAGGGTGATTATGAGGATGCTGGTGACGATGGTGCTTATGTCGAAGGTAGTGATGATAGTGCTGATGGTGGACGTGGTGGTAGTGATTCTGGGGATGATGGCACTGCTGATCTTGATGCTGATGATGATGGTGCTGGTGGTGGTGATGATGATGTTGCTTATATTGAATATCGTGGTAACAGATGTGATTTTGATGGTGTTCATCAGGAAGCTGGTGACGATGGTGCCTATGTCGAAGGTAGTGATGATGGTGCTGAGGGCGGTAGTGGTGATAGTCATGCTGTGAAAGATGGCCCTGCTGATCTTGATGCTGCTGATGATGGTAGGGGTGGTGATGATGGTGCTTATATTGAATATCGAGGTGAGACACCTGATTTTGAGGGTGATCATGAGGAAGCTGGTGACGATTGGGGCTTATGTCGAAGGTAGTGATGATGGTGCTGAGGGCGGTAGTGGTGATAGTCATGCTGTGAAAGACGACCCTGCTGATCTTGATGATGATGATGATGGTAGGGGTGGTGATGATGGTGCTTATATTGAATATCGAGGTGAGAGATCTGATTTTGAGGGTGATCATGAGGAAGCTGGTGACGATTGGGGCTTATGTCGAAGGTAGTGATGATGGTGCTGAGGGCGGTTGTGGTGATATTCATGCTGTGAAAGATGGCCTTGCTGATCTTGATGCTGGTGATGATGGTAGGGGTGGTGATGATGGTGCTTATATTGAATATCGAGGTGAGACACCTGATTTTGAGGGTGATCATGAGGTTGCTGGTGACGATTGGGGCTTATCTCGAAGGTAGTGATGATGGTGCTGAGGGCGGTAGTGGTGATAGTCATGCTGTGAAAGACGGCCCTGCTGATCTTGATGCTGATGATGATGGTGGTAGGGGTGGTAGTGATTCTGGGAATGATGGCACTGCTGATCTTGATGCTGATGATGATGGTGCTGGTGGTGGTGATGATGATGTTGCTTATATTGAATATCGTGGTAACAGATGTGATTTTGATGGTGTTCATCAGGAAGCTGGTGACGATGGTGCCTATGTCGAAGGTAGTGATGATGGTGCTGATGGTGTTAGTGGTGGTAGTGATTCTGGGGATGGAGGCACTTCTGATCTTGATGCTGATGATGACGGTGCTGGTGGTGGTGATGATGATATTGCTTGTATTGAATATCTTGGTATCAGATCTGATTTTGAAGGTGATCATGAGGAAGCTGGTGACGATGTTGCTTATGACGAAGGTAGTGATGATGGTGCTGATGGTGGTAGTGGTGGTAGTGTTGCTTGGGATGGTGGCACTGCTGATCTTGATGCTGCTGATGATGGTGCTAGGGGTGGTTTATGATGGTGTTTAATTGAATATCGGGGTGTCAGATCTGATTTTGAGGGTGATCATGAGAAAGCTGGTGACGATGGTGCTTATGACGAAGGTAGTGATGATGGTGCTGATGGTGGTAGTAGTGGTAGTGATTCTGGGGATGGAAGCAGTGCTGATCTTGATGCTAATGATGATGGTCCTAGGGGTGGTTTATGATGGTGTTATCGGGGTGTCAGATCTGATTTTGAGGGTGATTATGAGGATGCTGGTGACGATGGTGCTTATGTCGAAGGTAGTGATGATAGTGCTGATGGTGGACGTGGTGGTAGTGATTCTGGGGATGATGGCACTGCTGATCTTGATGCTGATGATGATGGTGCTGGTGGTGGTGATGATGATGTTGCTTATATTGAATATCGTGGTAACAGATGTGATTTTGATGGTGTTCATTAGGAAGCTGGTGACGATGGTGCCTATGTCGAAGGTAGTGTTGATGATGCTGATGGTGGTAGTGGTGGTAGTGATGCTTGGGATGGTGGCACTGCTGATCTTGATGCTGATGATGATGGTGCTAGGGGTGGTTTATGATGGTGTTTAATTGAATATCGGGGTGTCAGATCTGATTTTGAGGGTGACCATGAGAAAGCTGGTGACGATGGTGCTCATGTCGAAGGTAGTGATGATAGGGTTGATGGTGGTAGTGGTGGTAGTGATTCTGGGGATGATGGCACTGCTGATCCTGATGCTGATGATGATGGTGCTAATGGTGGTGATGTTGGTGCTTATATTGAATATCGTGGTATCAGATCTGATTTTGAGTGTGAACATGATGGAGCTGGTGACGATGATGCTTATATCGAAGTTAGTAATGATGGTGCTGATGGTGGTGGGGATGGTGGTGGTGACTTGACGGTATTGGTGGTGTTTCCTAGTACAGTAATACAACAAATCAAAAGTAATAATTTTGATTTTAATGATTGCACTGGCACCAAAAATATCAACAGAATGCCTAACTACACTAATTATGATAATGGCGCTGTTATTTGGGGAAACCAGTAAAGCCACGCACACCAACAATGGCGGTATATAATTGGAATTCTGGGCGTGAAGCCATGGAATTTCCTGCACAACTCTCAGCCATTTTGAGCACACTTGCTGCATTCGCTTAAATCTGATTGAACATCAGGAAAGTATCTTTTCCCGCTCCAGACATACGAACATAAAAATGAACAGTAAATATCTAGGTTTGATATTTACTGGCATAGAAAAAGATAAAGCTAAATAGAAATAGAAGAAAGATGTTATTATCGATAAATTTGAGAAGAAACTAACAACATTCGACATTGATGTACTGTTGTTGACGTTTCAGCTTTTGCCTTCATCAGCTAAGACTCATAAGAAAATAAATTATTTTTCCCCTCCAGAAACCTACCAAAAATTCTAAACTACACCAGGAAGGGGATGGTTAGCACCCACCCCCCCACGCAAAACGTTACTAATCAATTTTGATTTGATTTGATGTGTTTGACGTCATATTAACATCTTATGGGTCATTTAATGCTTAAATTTAATTTTCTTAAGAGCTTTGAAGTAATAAGATATTCTGCTTTCACTGTTGAATACATGGTAGACGATACTCAGCTTTTGATCATACAAATATTTATGTGGACATGATTACTAGAATTATTATTATTAGGCGTTGATATGTGCGTTTTATGTCGAAGTTATATTTTGGAATACAGTTAAATTTTTAAGAAATTGTATACTAGCAAACATACCCAGCTGGTCAATCAGAAAAAGCGTTCAATTAGAATACAGCAAAAACAGCATCATGTTTATATGTAACAGATTCTGTCTTTTCACTTATTTAAAGTACTTTCACTAAAAAAATATTTTGAATTAATGCAGTTACTGATAGAAGAGAAGTCTGTATTTATTCAATCGAAGCTAGCCGAAGACATGAAGGGGTAAAACAGGCAACATGAAGACCCACTTTAGACCACAAATATTTTGAAGTTTTTGAAATTCAATTTGTCAGTGTGCTACCAGGGATGTAAAAGAGGATACATTTATAAAGCAATTGTTAAGTTTGATGAAAATGGGTTGAAAGATCAACGAAAAAATAAGAAACCAGTAAAAATCACCATTTTTCGCTATTTACGCAGGTCTTCTCTATATGGGTGGTGTGACGCCCCCCGGGGTGTCGTTCGAGGTGTGTGTCGCTGCTCCAAACGTGACGTCCGCCTGTCTGCATCAGTCGTGCTATCCCGTACTGTGACGACCAACTGGCTTGGTATTGGTCGCGACACCTAAATGTGACGTTCTAACATTTTGGTGATTCAGATGGGAATCTGGTTAGATTCGATATCAGCCTCGTCGTTCCCAACTCGCCTCCAACGTCTGGTTACCGAAGTAACTGCTTTGATCTCCAGTCTGCCTACCCACGTTGTGAATTGATCTAGGCAGACGAAATCAATCAGTCGCTGGGGCCGTAATGCAAGCTGAGTTCGAATAAGGGCGATATCGCACAAGTATATGCAAAAGAAAATAAAATAATAACTCGAAAAGTTCAAATGTGTTAAAAAGGATAACAATATTTTATATCTGTTTGCTGAATATAGGACTACGTCTTTCTCCCAACCCGCTATATGGATACGTGACACGTTGTTTTTGTTAGGCGATTCTTAACATCTTAAGTTGTCTGTTCTTTAAGAAACTGGTTCTTGGTGTGTCTTCAGGCGATATTCGTAAAACTTGTTTTGGTGGTATGAGTCTAAGTCGTTCTTCAAAAATAAATTATTATTGGTTAGAAGATGAGTTCGGAATTGCGTGAATCTTTCAAGTCAGCTCTGAGAGGCGGTCTGCCAATTGCCAATTCCAACCGGATCTGGATCTGGAACTCAACTCAACTCAACTCGAACTGAACTTGAAACTGATTTTCGCTCGCTGCGACTTTGCTTATATGGACGCCGACCCAAACCGGGGTGGGCTCGTCGGGGTTTGAGGTTCCTTGATAATTCCAAATCCACAATCCCCTTTTTTTGTTTTCGGTCAGGAAAAATTTATTATTTCCATTTTTGGAAGTCTTCTCTTACTCCCACCTTCTTCTGCTCTCATAGGGGTATCTCACCATGCCATCAGAGGGCGTCAACGGTTTTCCCACTCCTTCGCAGTAGCATCTCATACCTATCCCCTCAATGGGTGGTGGCAGCCCCCCCCCCCGAATCACATGATCACCTCCGCCTGGCTCTCGTTAACATTCATCTAATGGGCGATCAACAGTGTGGGTGTGACCAGACTAGCCTTGTTTTTTAAAAAAATATATCTTGCTCAAAGAAAAAAATTATCTCCTCTTCTTTTTCTTTTTCTATTTCTTTTCTTTCTTTTCTTTCTCTCTTCTTCTCTGGCCGCCAACAGAACAATACGACCCGTAGTGTGATAATCTCAATTCTTATCCCAGTGTCACTTTCATATGGGATTCGTCAATCAGATTTTCGCCAGCACCAAGTGGCTGGTCAACCAGACACACTCACTCTCCGGCGCCAACCACTGATACGATGAAACGACTTCGCCAGTCAACGAAATTTTCACCATTTTCTGATAATATTGTTTCGCTGTCATAGTCAAATTCCAACACAACCCAGATGTCTTTTCTCTCAATGACACCCTCCCATCGACAAAGACTTAACCTAGGGTTGGGTTCTCTTTGTGTGTGGTCAGGACATTCTTATTTCTCGGTCAACGGAAGATCTTTTCCCGATAATATAAGTTCGCCACCATGACACAGTTAATTTTTTTTTATCTATTCAAAACTCTGTATCTGGTTATTTGGCCCACCCGGAATTCGTCAATTAGATTTTCGACAAGGGCCATAAAAATTTTCACCATTCTTCATTATCAAAATAACATCGCTAAATGCCCCTTTTGTGATGGCTTTCCTTTATCATCTAAGTTTTAACTCTCGCCTCTCTTTTACTTTCTTTTTTTTTCTTGCAGCCCTAAATGGTGTCACAGTGGGCTCAATTATCAAGTTTAATGACTGTTAAACAATCAACTTATTGTTGGCTACAATTGAGTGAAATTTATATTAGATTGCTTGAAAATTGAGTTTTTCTTTTTAATTTGTGTTGAAATCGATTTTTTGTTTTTCGTGGTTTTTCGCTAAACGCAATGGCGTAGAAATAAAATTGAGGTATCCTTGAACTCATCATGTAAGTAATCTACAAACGGAATTTGGACGAAATCGAAGGAAAAAATGAATTTATCGATTTTTGATCGGCTTCATCAATTATTGATTTTTTTTAAATTATCGATTTTTTACGCTAAGAACCTATCTCTTACATTGTACAATGTATAATCCAAATTTGGTCAAAATCGGTTAGATGAATGCGGAGTGAAAACGTATCACACACAAACACACACAGACAGACAGACATCCTCTGTTTTATACATAGAGATGAAACAGGTTTTTCATATTGGTTGTTTGATTTTGTTTGGTGTCATATCAACCTCTAGAGGTTATTTAATACCAAGATCTATTTTGTATGTAATTTTATGCTTTCAATTACAAACCTTTCGTGCATAATTTTATAATTTCAAAATAAAGTTATGTTTTTTAGATATAAATTTTGTAGTTCATAAAATGTATTGTTGGTCATTTTACTATAAGATTTATTTTTATATATTTTTAGTGTTGCAGTGATTGTCATTTTGCTATAAAAATGTGTTATGGGACCTTACCCATAATAACATAACAAGAGGAAGCAGAGAGTTCAGTCTGAAGTCTGGAGTGAGGTCCGTCAGGAGTCTGTCAGTCAGTCAGTCAGTCGAGTCAGAGGCAGTCCGAAACAGACTCGCGTTCAGACAATTACTACTAAACATGATTGTTCGTAGTAACACTTTCTACTTCTCTGTATATATTCCTGTTTGTAATATATCTGTGTTATTCCATATCCGTGTTCGAGTTCTTCTTTATTGGTTCTACCTTGGACTATCACCGTGGTACAAGGAACCGGATCATAACAAAATGTATTGTTGGTCATTTTATTATAAAAATGTACTAGTAATTTTGGTTTTGAGTTCACTATTTGCCCATAGCTGGCATCCTAACTGGTGCTGCCTCCCTGAGTCAGGGTTGACCTGGGAACAACAGCAATTAAAAGATGGTTCCACGCCCTTGAATCTCGCGCTAGCCCGACTCACATACCAGAGGCAGATATATAATTTTCAAATGCCTTACTTCTCAAAAGAATATTGCAATAAGGGTGGAACAATTGGAAATCTGTTGGAAAATATAATCCATCTAGGCGGCAGCCTTTTTAAATTCAGTTCCAATACTGTTATATACCGCACCTCTAGGTATGTCCAAATCCTCAGGTAATATGCTGTCTAATGCCGAGTAAAAGGTGCTGTTCTAGAGTGGCATTTTGATGCCGGTTAGGCATCAGACTGTTGTTCTTCCTGGGTTGAACTTGGGCAACCCATCCCTGAAATTAGGCTAATGTAGGTTTTATTTTTTGATTCTTTAGTTTTTTTCCTGTAAACTTAGCTAGGGTGTGTTTGCTCATTGGCCCCATTTATTTCTGTCC